ATTCTGCTGAGAATCAACACAGATACTCTGTATTAGAATCTTCCACGGTCACTTACTTTAATAAACTTAATTCGGCTTGAAATTTTTACTCGCTACTCCCTAATCTAAATATTCCTGGAATAGAGATTATTGTGAAGGTAAAATAAACTGCACAAACCCTACGTAGACTCTGTCAGAATCTGCTCTTCTTTTAAAATAAGCTGTCTCCAGACAATGCAAACTATAATAAAATTAAAGTAGTAAACAAAAAGTATAAAATGCAATAACCACGGTGAGATTCTGCATGTAGCTAGTAGAAAATGGTGCTACTCTCCTGCTTAAAAACTCCGGGGCAATGAAGTTCAAACCCCTTAACGTGGCTCCATTTGCTGCCTGTTTTCTAAAGGTTCTCACTCCTGCTCCAACCCACACCCGCTCCTGTACTCCAGCCTCGGGAAACCACGCGAGCCCCTTCCCCCCGCCCCCACCCCATGTGCATTCATCTCGCACATTCTCTTCCTCTGGTTCTCCTTTTGTATTCTCTCCCCTCAACACACACACACACACACACACACACACACACACATGCACACACACACACCAGGCACCACTCACTCCTTTGCCTCATTCCTTCTCAAATCCTTTGGGTCTCAGTGTAAATGTCACTTCTTCAGCGTCCTTCCCTGACCCACCTGTCTCAATTTTGACCATCTCCCACTCTCCTGTCTCAGCGTTCTCCTCAGAACACGTATCACAATCTGTAATTATACATTTATGGGTGTCGTGATTTGGTTAGTACCCCTGTTCACCCTTAGACTGCAGGCGTTAGGAAGGTAGGCAGGGTGTTGCGCTTACCACAATGTCTGGCACACACATAGTAGGATCTCAATAAATATTTGTTGAATGAATGAATGAGACCCAAGCTTGAAAGTACACGAAGAACAATGGTGAATGTGATCCAGACCACTTATGGCTTCCATACGACCTGAAGCTAAGGTCTCAGGAGCTTTGATCCCCACATCGGCCCCTCCTATGGGCCCATCTGCCTGCCTTTGCCTGGGCTCCTGAGGTTTATTTCCCTAAGACTCTTCACACAGATTCTGCAATGGCATCCTCGGATCTCCATCCCACAGAAGCCGAACCGTCCCCTTCTCTAGAGGCTGCACCCTACCTCTCTCATTTCCTCAGAAACAGTGTTTAACCAAGAACTAAAAAGGAGGAAGAGTTGAAATAAAACAAAACAAAACAAAAAAACATCCTAGCGGCCACAGGAAGACTTTTCCAAGACATTTTTATCTTTATTTCTTGGACTAAAATCAGGAGACATTACTTTTGACACTTCTGTTGTGTTTCACAATGACAAACAAAGACACTTTACATTTCTGCACGCTGCCCTCTCCCATTCGGTTATGACAACTTGCTATGATAATCAACAGTTTTTGTGCGATGATGCGTATCCCACGAATCGTATGCCTTAACAAAAACTTCCTTACAAATTGTTTACTGTGTCAAATAGCTCGTTATGTTTTGACAGTAGCTTTTCCTTTAGGATTTTAGAGTCCTGTAGGATCCTTTAATAAGATTCTGCCTGGATTTTCCCAGTTCTTGAGTTAGTATGCCCCAAACATCCATGGTGCAACACGCTTCAAAATATTTACGCTAGATTGAACTATGGTGCAGGGGTGTGTTTTTAAGTATGGGTACTTGCAGAAATACCCTGTAGAACTGAAAATAATTTTAAATATAAAATACTTGAATAAGCATAATTAAGTAGCTTTCATCAAGTTTTTAAGGAAAACTCTATTCCACAGAAGAACCAAAAAGCCAGTGCAATTAAATGTGATCCATACTTATTGTAAATAAAATGCCATATGTAAATATTTTCTCTTTTTTGGTAATATTAACAACATTTACTCAATGCTTACCATGTACCAAGAAGATGTACCTCTAAACCTTGTGCATATATTAATTTATTTAATCCCACAACAGCCCTTAGAGGAAAACACAATTGTTTTTATTGTACAGATTTAAAAAAACTGATGCACAAGAAATTCAAGTAATTTGCTCAAAGTTATGCAGTGAGGAGGGACAGAACCAAGTTATGTGCCTAGAAGTCTGCCTCCAGAGCCCGTGAGCTTAACCATTTCTTTATTCCCCCACCGAAGGACAGACCACTACCAAGGAACAGACCAAGGCAAATAATCTTTTCTATTCCCGAATTCTCATATATATTTTACTATATGTTAAATTGTGTTATGCATTCTAACTATTATATTATATATATGTGCCCATGTTATTTTATCAAGGATAACACTAGATTTTAATCTTTCCTAGATTTTAACTATTGCCAAGAACTAGCTTGGTATAGTGATGTAATTGAGTCAGGAAGACCTGAATTTAGAATCCAGCTCTACTACTTACCCATTAGCTGACCTTGGGAAAGTTCCTTAATTATTTGTGAACCCCTTTGTTATTTTGTAAGATGGGATCATGATAGCTGTTGTAAGGGGAAAATGAGATAACCGTGTATAAATTGCCTGGCACGTGGGTGATCAATAATGCGCCTTATTCCGAATGTGTAAATGAGAACACTAGGAAATTACATTAATTCTCATGAAAAAGAAGGTCCCATCAATAAATTACTAATTTGATGTTGTAAATCATGTTCTCTTGGCTGAAAATGGTTTATACCATTCCTTAAGTGTCCCGGCTGTTATCAAAAGATAATAGCATTTACAAGAAAACCATATTTTTCTAGCCTAATCGAAATTTTTACATGTAGCTACAAAGGATTACATTAGAAGACCAGTGGGTCAAATGGACAATTAGATGAGTGAGCAACACCGAAGAGCCAAACTGGTAGAAGTGTAGACATGTCACAAATTCTTTCACCATTCCATGGAACTCTACTTTCCCGGAATCCCCCGCATTGGGCCCAGCCGTATGTCTGTGCACACAGGCCTGTAAAGGTACTCTGTATACCTGAGCCTTGCTGGGGTCAGCCTCCAGGTCAAATGATTGTGCTGAAAGAGTGTGGATTGAGGTTGTCACAGAGGAGCCTGAGGTGCGTTCTCTTCTGTACGAGAAATATCGTTCTGTTTAATCCGCCTCCACCCCTGCCGATGGGCAGCAGCTACGTCCTGTATCCCATGAACCACCTCCCATCACAGATGATAGGAGTGTATGTGGGCACTTGGCAGAGAGGCAGCCAATCCAGAGACTGGCCACACGTCTGTGTGGTAGGAGCTGGCCCGATACGAATGCCTCTTCGGGACTGGATTTCAGCAAACAGAAACTTGCAGGCAATTGTCAAGGAGGACAGAAAGGGAAATAAACCAAGAGAAACCTAAAGCAAGTTGGTAGGGCTGGAGGGACCCTGGGACATCACAAAACAAAGAGCGAAGTGAAGTGAGGATAAAAACTATCCCCCAGAATTGCAAACAAAAGGAGATGGAGAGAGAAAGAAAGGGATTCCTAGACCACTTTGATTTACATTCTCTTTCATTGTGGTTTCAGTCTATCTGTCTTCACAATAGACCTTCCAATAGTTGACCGGGGATGGCAATTTCACACATAGGAAGCTGCATGACACCTTCACAATATGAGCCTGAGACCAAGGGGACACACTGACATATAACCATTGTTATAGAATTTTATTAGCAGAAATGTGACCAATTCCCTCTGATGTCCCCAGTACCTGACTATGTCCTACACTCAGTGGGTGACACAACCTTTAATGCTGCTAATAGTAGAGCCTGAGGACAGCATTGGTTGATGACCACAGACCACTAGGACTGAGCCCACGACTGACATCTGCCCCCTCTCCACTGCGGTGGGGAAAGGCTCAGACTGGAGAGGGAACCAACACAGTCAAAAGTGCAGCCGGAATTAGTGGGAGACAGAGTGAGAACTCCAGATGTTTAGAATTAGGATGACTATAAACAAATTTGTTTCTCCAGATCCACCAAGCTTGCTGTTTAAAATTATTTTTATATCTGGTAAACAAAGTCATATTCTCTTGGTTGCAAATAGACTAATTCTTTAGGGAATGATAATACTCATACCAGTTGGCTCTTGTAAAGAAGAAAAGAGTATTTGCCCTTCTTTCTCCAGAAATTGCATGAGTCACACGTTAACATGATTGTCTCGATCGGTACTTCTGGAAACTTGGGAACTCAGTATGAACCCTGCATCAGCGATTACTCTCCAAGGCGGGTTTTATGCACACCTGCCACCCAATTATTATTTTTTGTTGTTGTTGTTGGGCCAACTTTAACATCCAAATGTTACTTTAGCCATAAGCACTCTTCGGACACTACATTTGATACAGTCATCATGGGAACAGGGCAGGGCCATGGGGTAACCACTTTTGTGTACCAAACAAATTAGCCGCAGGTAATGATCTGAGTTTATGCCTGGAGATTTCATTAATGCATCGATTACTAAGAAATGTCCACTCCTATACTTCCATTGCGTCTCCTTTAATGATTTGAATTAGGGATATCTTCAGCCAATGTGGAACACACATTTCAAGGAATTAGTATTACTGTCCCCACTGCACACACTCAGTACATGATTATTCATATTTGGTCATGCACAAACCAATGCAGAGCAAGTTCAAAGACTCCTTTTGATAAGTCCCGATAAATACGTTCCTCTGCTTGCCTTCCACACTGCCTAGGCTAAGGGTCTGCCTTTCCTCCTAGCCCTCACATTCCTTTAGAGTCTGTTGTCAGAGTGGGAATCCGCTAGAAAGAACAACAGAAAAAAAAAATCTCAAGAAGCTTCTCTGCTGAACAGGTTTCAGCAAGATTGATAATCACCTAATGCCTGATTCACTCCTTGTATGTTCCAAGTCTGTTGTATGTTCCACCGGGAGGGTGCGTGCACGTGCACACGCGCACACGCCCACACTCACACACGGGTTCCTTGCCTTTGTATACATGGAGCGATTGTGAAATGGTTGACAGTAGATGAAAACTACTCCTAACAGTCCTAAAACCAAAACATTCGTTTTACAGGGCCGTTGTTCACGAGAAAACTGCAAGTATCTTCATCCTCCAACACATTTAAAAACTCAACTAGAAATTAATGGGAGGAACAATTTGATCCAGCAAAAAACTGCTGCAGCGATGCTTGCCCAGCAGATGCAATTTATGTTTCCAGGAACCCCACTCCATCCAGTGGTGAGTACATCGCATCTAATGATGGGCTTGATGATTAAAGTGTTGGTACGGGCAGCGCCACATTGACCTAAAACGGCCTCTCTCTACTTTGTCTCTGGCTACAATTAAAGCAAATAGCTTTGAAGCTAAATGGTTTCTGAAAATAGGGTTTTTGAAATTATTTAAATGGAAAAAGTGTGTGTGGAAACAGTAGGCAAAGACAGTTTCTAAGCAGTGTCTGGGAAATCTGTGTCCCTCCCAACTCGGGCTCACCGGTAAACTCCACCTTTGAACCATCTTAGAACGGAAGGAGTTCGACGTTTTCATTTAGAGTACGAAGTGATGATCTATGTGAAGAGCAGGTTTCGATGCCTAGCACGTTGTTAGCAATCTAGCAGGTGGACTCTTCCGTTCAATGGTGTCGTTTTAAGGATGAGCGAAGGGAGAAACCCGAGAGGCTGAACCATTTACCCGATGTCTTGCAGCTAATACGCTGTGGGTGGGGCACTGGGGCTCAGACATTGGGAGCAGGGCGCTGTCTGCAGTGTGCTGGGCCTGAAGCCCCACAGCAGCCAGAGAGGAGGCTGCCTTAGCCACCCACACTCCGCTGCCTCTCAGAGGCCTGGGAAGGGTGTGGTGCTGTGGCCAGGGCCCCAAGAGTAAATGCTCAAGGGAGTTCAGGCTTTGAATATGTATTGTGTCATATTTTCTCCCTGATTTCAGTGTTTGAAAGTATTTCCTTAAAGGTCTGGAAATTGTTTTAGGAATGAGGCCCTGGGGGAAAGGAGCGCATTGGGCTTCAGTGGAATTCATTTACATCTGTGAATTATTTGTCAAAAACAAGCTAATTTTAAAAAAACACACACACAACAAAGCCAGTAAAGTGAGAGATACTTGCTTTTTCAAAGCAGTACATACACAAAAGACTCTTGTTTAAAAATTAGTCTTTATTGTGTGAAAAGTCCTTGTGATTGAAGGCTGCTAAATTAAAAAGGACGCTGCAGCTGAGATGTACTTTCTTGAGTGTCTGCGGGATGAGGTGGGGAGGGTGGGAAGGCCCTGGTGAAGGGAGAATCTGGGCAGATCCTTAGCTCTGCTGGTGCTTCTGCTCAAGAATGGTGGACAGGACAAAGTAGCCAGGACCCAGCTCTGCCCAAGGCGGGGGGGGGGGGGGGG